GATGCAAGGATAATAACATGAAAAAAAATCTGAATTTTGGCAAATACCTGTTATTAGGTGGGTGCCAAGCTGCATGAGGTCCTTCATGCACAGTTCCTGTTGCTCAGTAGTCCCTTGCCTTTTGCTGACAAAAGAGGATACTATAGGAAGTCATTGGGTAGCTAAGACACCATGAGAATTTGTGTATAGATTGCTGTTCTCTATGAAAGTAGTAGGGTTTTATTGTGATTCCCAGATACCTTCTTCCTCATCTTCATATTCTATTTTCCCCTTTCAAACATCTTTGAGAGCATTCTGAAATTTAGTTGATGATAACAAATGGAAGGACCATGCCATGCAAAGCTAGCTCCAGTCTGTTTGGAGATGGACTGGAGTACAGAATCAGGAACAACCTGCCCTTTTCACATCTGTAGTCAGAGTAAGTACAGGAGCTGGAAGTCAGCATTTGTACAGTGGCCGAATCTATTCTGTGCTAGAGAAGATGGAACAAGCCTATCAGAAAGAAGCAGACACTTCAAAATTGTTCCAACTCCTATAGGTCCTGGGACTGTAATGCTACAGCCAATGTGGATAGAAACTCATCAGAGTGTCTTTTTGTCCCCACAGTCTCCTTGTCAAGTAATGATTAAAGAGTAACTAGGGTAAGTTGAATGCAATCTTTTCGTTACACAAAACCAGGGATAAGACTATGTCTTGGGGGGGAGGGGAGTTGAGACAGGGTTTCTCTGTGTAGCTTTGGAGCCTATCCTGGCACTTGCTCTGGAGACCAGGCTGGCCTTGAACTCACAGAGATATGCCTGCCTCAGCCTCCCAAGAGCTGGGATTAAAGGCGTGTACCACCAACGCCAGGCAAGACTATGTCCTTATTAGCACCTTTTGTCTCACCGCTGGGACTGCGTCTGTCTGCATGTTCTGCACAAACACTAGCCCTTACACATTATACATATGTGCACACAGCTATTTTTAGATGATACAATAAGTCATTGACTCATCTGCTCCATTGATGAACATTTAGTGAGCTACAGTGTGTTTGAATGCAAGGAACACTGTGGTGGAGTATCCAGGATGCTGCCTTTCTGCTCTTAGGAACGTGGCAGGTGTTTTTGTTCTTGTATTTTTGGTGTTTGAGTTTTTGTTTTTTTTTTTAACCATTCCAATGGGAGTGTGCCTCAGAGGTACCTACTGAGCCTCATTTTAATTATTTACTTTATTTTACTTGAATGTGTGAATGTGCCTGAGCGTGTGTATGTGCACCGTGTATGTGCAGGCATCTGAGTAAGCCAACAGAGGGATCAGCTCCCCTGGAACTGGAGTTTCAGGTGGTTGTGTACTACCTGATGTAGGTACAAGGAACTGAGCAGGAGTCCTTTGAAGGAACAGTAAGAGCTCTTAATTACTTAATTACATCTTAACTATTGAGCATTTCTTAACTAGGAATAGTTGTGGCATTTCATCTTCTCGAAGTCAGTTATCAGTTACTTATTTTGTTAAAACCGGTTCAATTTTGTTTTCTGTTTTCCTGTCAAAAGTATAGCAATTGGTCCTTCCAGCTTGGAAAGACTTGGGTTCTTCTTGATGTCAATCATTAAAAATTCTCTCCTTGGTGTCCTATGTCAGCATCCCCAACATTGCTTTTTTTTTTTTCTCACTTGATGGGGACAAATTTGCTTCCATGACAATTGTGACATTGAACTCCCCTCTAAACTCCAGCACCTACTGTGGGGCCTGGTACATGGTGGGTGGTGTCTCAGTATGGCTCTCAGTGAATTTAATCAGGCACAAATGTGTTTGTGCTATTGAAGCATTGTCTAATTCAAGAGAGCAACTAAAAAGTCTGGAAGACAGACGTGTCAGAGCAACTTATGAGCATTCAGAGTGTGGGAAGGTCCCTTCCTTTGGCAGATGGACCAACTGGAGGTTTGAGGTCTACTGACTGACTCAAAAATGAGCCCAGATAGAGAAAAATGGGAGGATATTAATGTGTAGCCCGGATTAATTAGACAGGCCTGGTTTGCTTCATATTTGATCAGATCCAGTTTCCATGCATTTTAGAAAAATAAGGACAAATGTGAAGGCAGCATTGCAATCCAAATGCAACAAAAATGTTTTGTGATATACGCAGGGGTCAGTAAAGGAACATAGAGTATATATCCAATTCTTCTCTAGGGGCTCATTTAAAGGAGCAGCTACATGCCTTGGAACACTTGGCAAGAGGATAGCTGAGGGCCTGTGCAGCCTGTCCAGGCATCCCAGCTCAGTCACTCAGCTTATATAACAGAGGAAGCAAGGCCCAGGCCGTCCACCCAGAGGAGAACAGAGCTGACAGGAGTTCGGAGGGATCAACGCAGGCTCTGCTTAGTATTCCTGACACTGCTTCCTGCTACTAATAAAATCTGCAGCCTATTGGTTTACTTCCCACTTCAGAAACAGAGGGGCTCCCCCGAGAAGAGAGGTGCATGGCCCCACCAACACAACCGAAACTCAAACTTGGTAAATGCTGGAGCCCCGAGAAGCATCAGAGAAGCAATAGCTTAATTAGACACACATTGCTCCATCAAGTCATTATTTATTCAATGTGGTTCATTCAAATATGAGGGAAAATCCCGAAAGGCAACCAAACAAAAGCTCTCTCCCTCAGCCACTCCATTGTGCTCCACGTAGGCCATGAGTGGAACAGATGGGGGAGAAAGATGTGTTCTTGACTGCAGGGAGACACAGTGAGATGTTTGCAAGGGTGGTTTAGGCAGTAGGCACATGGAAATCTATATTTTCTCCTAACCACTCACTATTCCACTATTACAGACATTTTTTTTAATTGTGAAATGACATACTACACATGTAAAGAAAGAGGTTTAAACCTACAGATGTGGGTCTTAAAGTGTCGGCAGTTGCCTAGTGACTGCTCACATAATTTGTCACCCACCTACCCCAGAAAGGTACCTTCTGAATAATGACATCACTGTCACTGCTTTACCAGGAAGCCACTGGATTTCCAGTGCTAAGATACTCCCATCTGATCCTGCCCCAGGGCTTCAGGAGTGGAAAGAGGGCACCAGACTGAAGTGGTAACCATGTTTGCTACATAATAGAGAATATTTGTTTCTAGACTCAGAACGTTCTTTTATAACTCATTCTATGAAGAAGACTTCAGAATAATGAAAGCATTGAAAATGGTGACAGGCAGAAAATATTTGGGGGAGTCTGAGATGAGGTCATGGATTGTGGAAAGGGATGATTTGGGGAAGCATGACCCAGCATCCCAGTCTTTTTTTAATTTGAATTAGAAACAAGATTGTTTTATATGACAATCCCAGCTCCCTTCTCCCTCCTGTCCTCCCCTACCACCCTCCCCAACTAAAACCCTACCTATCACATATCCTTTCTGCTCCCCCTGGATGGTGAGGCCTTCCCAGCATCCCAGTCTTAGATGAGCCTCATCAATAGAAGCAAATAGACCTACCAAGAAATACTGAAAAGGTGTATGCACCCATTAACAAACATTATATGGTGTTTTGAGACATTCTTCTAGGGAGGCAGAGGTTGTGTGAATTCTCCAATAATTTTCTTATGAATTAGATAACCTTCATTTCTGAGAAACAGAGGTTCAAAGAACACACCATGAACAGTATAAAGTAAGTCCCCCAGGACTTATGATTGACTCTGTCCTTACTGATTTTTTTTGTCATAGGCAATTCACTTAACATCTTTGGGCCTCCATTTTATACATTTATAAGATAGCAAGGAAGGTTGACTATTCCCCCTTTTTCCTCAGGGGCTTTGTGAGGTCTCTGAGTGTGTGTACAACACTTGTGTGTACACACCCAGTGCTTGGAGGATACTTGACACATTTGTATTCAGTATGTTGACTTTGTTATTGCTGCACCAGATACTTCTATTCTATATTCCCACTGAAGTAATGAGTGGAGCAAAGGCATCCTTGACAAAGACTGAAGTCTCTTTTTATGAACTAAATAAGCAGAAGACAATTTACAGCCCTTTGTGTGCCTCAGTTGCCTTGTCTGTAAAATAGAAGCAGTCACAGCTGAGTAGTGTCTGGAGTGACCTGTGGGATGGTGGCATTAAAATTACAGCAGAAGACTTGGGATCTAAATGACCTGGATCCTCTCCTTGCTCTCAGGCATGTCTTGCTTGGTATGATTAAAAAAGCAATATTTTCTGCAGGTTGATACAGTCAAAGCCCTTGGCACAGGGCATAGTCTCCAGCAGTTTCCAAGCACATTTTTTACTTGCTTGGGCTTTGTGAATTTTCCTGTGAAATTAAAAAATTCAACGTGATCTTCTCAAATTAGGGACTATTGTGGGGATCAAATAAGGACATATAAGTGAAATCACTTTTTAAACTATCAAATGGTATGATGAAAAAATTCAAATTAGTGAGTACCTAAATTAGAAAGCCAGAACTTACAAGCACAAGCTTTAGCTGACAGAATATGAAAAAATCAAATGTTTGTTAAATATCCAAGAGTAATCCAGGCAGTATATTCACATATATTTATTTGACAATTATGTAATAAGCATATATCAGATCTTTTTATTATTCTTGTGGTTCAAAAGATCCTTTCTTATCAATAATTAGGGACAGATAGTTTAAAAAATAAAGAAGTTGGTCTGGTGGTACAGGCCTAAATTCCTATTCAGGATTCAGGAGCCTAAGGCAAGAGAATAACAAGTTCAAAGTGAACCTGGGCTATAGAGTGAGTTCGGAGCCAACCTGGAAACTCAGTGGGACCTGTGTCAAAATTTTTAAATTAACAAGAAGGCTTTGCATATAGATCAATGGTACAGAGATTTGTATGTGAGCCAAAGAAAATCTGCAAGGTTACAAGAAAGAAAGCAAGGGAGAGAGGGAGGGAGGAAGGGAGTAAGGGAGTGAGGGAGTGAGGGAGTGAGGGAGGGAGGGAGGGAGGGAGAAGGGAGGAAGGAAAAGATTAATTTTGATCTGGAAGTATAAGCCAAAATAAAGACATTCCACCTCCAAGTTACTTTTAATCATGGTGTTTATCACAGCAGCAGAAAAGCAAACTAGGATATCACGGACACATTGGCTCAGTTTCTTCTGTGAAACTTAGAAGGTAGAATTCAGAAGGATTGCACTGACATGTAAAATAAATTAGAGATTAGAAATATTTTTTTCGTGTGGATGGTATGGATGAATTTGGTTCCTATATTTTAAATTGTCTTTCAGTTTGGCTTGTTATTTGGCTCTCCCTCTCTCTTTGTGTATGTGCGTGTGAGTGTGTGTGTGTGTGTGTGTGTTTATGTATGTGTGTGTCTTTGATCATCCAAAATGGAGCAAGTTTATTATCTGTCATCTCTGATCCTCACAAAACTAAGAATCAAGCATTTTTTTTTAAGTTGGCAGCAGTCACTTTCTGAAGGATGCTCAATGGAAGGATGCAGCAAAGGGAAACAGGTAAAACATAGAACATCCCTGAAGAAATGGAGAATGACCGAGAGCACATAAATTCTGTTGAGAGGCAGCCTCAGCATCCCCTGGCTTCTTGCTTTAAAGCATGCTATTCTTGGCAGCTGCATTCATCAGCATATGTGAAAATATTATCCAGAGTGCATTCTATATTTTCAGAAATGTGACATGATAACATCCCCAAAGGAAAGGGATTTGGTGGTGAACATCCATCAATTTTCACTTGCTGGACTCCCCGAGGCAAGACCTTCTGTGTCATGTCAATATTTTTTCCCCGCTAGCAACAGAACTGGAAGACTCGGGGAAAGACAGCATCTCTGTGTCTCCTCATCATTTCTTCCTCCCCCTCATTCCACCATCCTCCTCACCGTGGTGCAGGCAACGTGGCAGGGGGCAAATGTGGCTGTTATTGCTTTTCTGAAGGGAAATAATGTCAAAGATAAACAATCTTTATAGATTTAACCCAAATGTTAGTCATAAAACAACCTTCCAAAGCTTGGATGTGTAATAAGGCATCCAGCGCCAAGCTAATACTGTCAACAGGAACCATGTCCAACTTTCTAAACTGCTTTCATCTGCACAAAGGGCAGCTTTTCATATCTGAGGAGGATAACACTCTAAAACAGGACCGACAACACATTTGCCTGGCTTCTATTCAGCTAGATCCCAACACATGTTTGTGCTATGACAATAGACTGGAGTAGGCAAACCAGAAGCCCTGTTGAAGGCTTCTTATGCAGAAGACACAAAGGATTTGTCCAACCAGCACTTTTCAGTCTGAACAGCATGCAAAGTTCTCCTGTAACGTGTAAAACCATTGGCCTGCTTGGTACTATGTTTCATTCAATCATGGGTCTGAACCATAGCCAACAAGTTTGTGGGGCTCAGAACTTCTGAACCTGTGGTAGATGATGGTTGGCTTGGCTTTCTTGTGGTGGCAGCCTGATTTAAAGGGAGTATTTTTTCTTTTTTTTAATTTAAAGTAGAATCAAGCTTGTTTTACATGTCAATCCCAGTTCCCTCTCCCTCCTCTCCTCCCCTGATCCCTACAAACCCTTTATCCCATCCCCTTTCTGCTCCTCAGGGAGAGTGAGGCCTTCCATGGGGGTCTTTAGAGTCTGTCCTATCATTTGGAGCAGGGCTTAGATCCTCCCCAGTGTGTCTAGGCTGAGAGATTATCCCTCTATGTGGAATGTGCTCCCAAAGTCCATTTGTGCACTAGGGGTAAATACGGATCCACTAGCAGAGGACTCATAGATTGTCCAGGTCTCCTAACTGACACCCACGTTCGGGGGTGTCTGGGTCAGTCCTATGCTGGTTTCCCAGCTATCATTCTGGGGTCCATGAGCTCCCCCTTGTTCAGGTCAGCTGTTTCTGTGGGTTTCTCCAGCCTGGTCTTGACCCCTTTGCTCATCACTCCTCCCTCTCTTAAAGGGAGTATTTTTTTTAACCTAATTAACCAAATACTTACAACTATACTTCACAAAGAGAAGCCAATGACTGTAGCTAGCCACCACTCAGTAATAAACATCTTCATTGGTCAAGAAGCCCACCATGGCATCATAAGAAGCTGTTGGATCCATGTAGACCATCTAAATTTCCAGTTAGTTGTGTATGGGAACAGAGCTGAAATTTCTCAATCACAAGGGAAAGATCATCATAAACTATATAAAATTATTTAATTTGATCACTCTTTCATCCTACTTGGCCTGCATGCTGCAAACTAGCAAATGTTTTCTCTTTTATGTATATACTTTAAAATGGTAATACATACCTTTAATTCCAGCACTCAGCAGAGGCAGGTGGATAATTGTGAATTCTAGGCCAACCTGGTCTACAGAGAAAGTTCCAGGACAGCTTCCAAAGCCACAGAGAAACCCTGCTTCAACCCTCTACCTCCAAATAATAATAAATAGATAAAATTTTAAAAATCCATAGTATATATTCATTGTATATGACACAATAATACATAAGGGTATTTCCATATGAGTATATATTATGTTATATGTATTACAGAATTAACTTCTATTCTCTCTTTTCTTCCTCCTGTCCCCTCCCATTGGCCTCCCTTGTTCTCCTAGACTGTTTTGCTTCTAATTTTATGTCATCTATACATCCATGGCTTTATGCCTATATAAAATGTAAGTACCACAGATGAGAGAAAACATGTCATATTTTTATAGGGAAATGCATATATGAATGAAATTTTATCACAAGGCTCCAGTATTTGTTTAGAGCTACCCTTTGTATCTGAACAAGAAACAGGACAAATAAGAATTCAAATACAAAAACGAAAAGCCTTGGGAGAAGAGTTTAAGCAAACACAGAGAATAAGTAACAGTGACTTAGCCCATGGCTTCCTCTCTGTTTCGTCTCCCCTCTGGCTGCTTCATCAGTCAGTTGAAAATGGAAATGAACAACTATAACAATGCCTCCTGTAGCCTAGAGCATGAGAAGCCAGGTGAACTGAGAGGGGACAAGGTCAGCTACTTACCAGTGATCATGGGTCAAAGGGAAGCCAGGTTCATCCACTCACCTATTTTCAAAATTAAATGATTGTAAATTGAAAACATTCCTGATGAAATAAAAGGCAGTCATGGCACTGGGTAATATTGCACTTCAGAGACAAAGGAAAATATGCACCTCAGACTAAGTATTGTAAGTGCAAAGGGACCATCTCTGTTTAGTGCTGTCAACTAGATTTAGGAAAAACGCCTGGAAAACAGGGTTATGAAACAAAAGAGGAAAGATGAGATGACTGTGATGGGGTCAAATGGTAGACACAGCTAGAAGCTAGATGAACTGGCTGTCTACGCGGATTCCTTTTATACTCTTGTTTGCCTTCTCAGATAGAGGTTGAGAGTCGGGCTTGAATAATGGGAACTCAACAAAATGAGAAAATTCTCCAAGAAATTAAAATGCAATTGTGGCTAAAGAGTTGCTTTTAGAGAATTAAGGATAGAAATCCCTGGGTGTGATGTGAGAGGCAGAGAAAAAGAATTCAGAAGTGCAGAAGCAAAAATGTAGAAGCGAGAAAAGAATGAAGAAAAAAGACAGTAGATATATAGGGAAGAGGACAATGGAACCCCAATTGGTGTTTATGACTAAAAATCTGGATTGAACAAGAAATAATCAATACATAGAACTACAACTAAAGAACTGAGGAGTCACTGGGCACTTACTATGGAAATAGCAGATTCTTGTATTAAAATTCAAAAATGACAATGTATACTTCTCATGACTTATTTTATCCATCTAACCCATCTCTTATTTCACTTGCTTCATTCCCTTGTATTCCTACAGCAACAGATCACTCTTCTCTCTACACAAGTGTATCATTCCAAGGGCTTTTAAAAATCAGACTTACTGGAAGGTATTTGTACTCAGAAAAGCTCATTGCTTTTAAATACACAAGTTGCTAATAAAATTGAAGTGAAAGAAAGTACATTTCACCTATCTCTCACAATTCCCTCCTTTGTCGTACAGGCAACACCTCTATCATTACCTATGGAAGTGATTGTTCTTTTGTTGCTAGTTTCTCTTTGCTAGATTTAACATGTACTCACATGATGTGATGTTTTTGAAGCTAATAAAAACCATTAGATGTATTAGTAAATATGTACTCTATTCAATGCATGGTGTACTATGAAATTAATTGTGTATTGCTACAGCAAAACCCCAGAAGCTGGGTAGTTTATTTTTCAAAATATAATTATTTAGAATTATTTAGATAACAGTGTTGGAGGCTGAAAGTCCAAGATTAGATGACTCATTTCTTCAGCCTCTAGTTAAAGCTTTCTGACTGGGTCATTGTATGGTACATGGCGTCACATCACTTGTAACAAGATAAAAAAAAAAAAAAAGAACCAGAGACTGATATTGGGGTTCAAACTTCAAGTTGAAAAACAGTAAAGCAAATTAGTGGGCCACTAGCTCTCACCTCAAGCTTGGGCTGAATGGGCTGATTCACACACGAGCTCTTCACTAAGCCTCAAATTATTGCCTCTCCTCAGTGTGGCTGGAGAATGAATGCCTCATACTGAGTAACATCCCTCTAGTGCTGAGATTAAAGGTGATCTGTTACTCTTTTAGACTGATTCAGTCTCATGTATCCCCGGGTGGCCTTGAACTCAAAGAGATCCATCTACCTCTTAATCCTGAGTCCTAGGATTAAAGTTGTGTACTAACACCTCCTAGCTTCCGGCTGTTGAGATTGAAGGTGTGTGCCTGGTTTCTATAACTTGTGGCTGACTTTGCTTTTTGAATCCTCAGGCAAGCTTTACTAATTCATAAAAACATATCACTACAATCAATGATATGTGAGAAAGTGGCAATCGACAATGAAGAAGGGTCCAGACATATAGAATGATCTCACTTTATCTTATACAGCTCTCATGATAATTAATCTAGTTCTAAAGACCTAACCCACTTTCTAAGATGGACCCATGAATTCCCACAAGGCCCCACATCTAAAAAGCTCACTACCTCACAATATGGTTGTGGTAGAAGCATAAAAGTTGTAAGGACAAACATCATCCCTTCTTAGTCTTCTTGTTTGCCTACTTTCTTGTTCCTTCATCAACATCCTCATTTTCTTTCCCCATTCATCCTGGGCCTCCAGATGGTACTCACTTGCTAGGGCAGCTATCTTCCTCCTCTCCTCACCATTTCCTGATACATTTCTGCTCCTCCTTGGACACTCAACTTGAAAAGCCTGATAAAAGCTTTTAAGACTCACAAGTTCCTCTTCACACATATAATTTTCCACAGCCCTTTTTCCTATTTTACCATCTCTACCATGAGTAATTCACAGACCAGTGTATTTACTGGGCTGCAGCCAGTCTGTGCCTCCTGATATCCAGGTATCTACACTGTAGATTTGAGCCAGCATGACTTACTTGAAGTTGCTGTTGTTTGTGAGTGTTCCCCCATGGATCTGGGTAGATATCACTATAGGTGGAGAACTTGTGATCCAGGATTGTGGAGAGTTCCAGTAACAGAGAGCATATATAGATCATTAATCTAGAATGTATAACCCAACACACTTTCTTTTTAATTACTTCTTTTCATGTTTACATATGTGTATGTATAGGTATGTTGGCACACATATGCACAGGTACAGTGTGCAGGGTGTGTGGGTGGGTGGGGTGGGGGAGATTGACCTGAAGAGTCTTTCCTAATCTTTCCTGATAATTCTGAATCTGAAGTTCACTTACTCAGCTAGTCTTTCCAACCAGCTTGCCCTGGGGATTCTGTCTCTATATCCTGACCACTAGGAGTAAAATGGACTGTCACTAGGAGTACAATGGACTGCCATGAGTACCTGGCTTTTAAGTGGGTTCTGGGGATCTGAACTCCAACCTTCAAGCTTGTAGAACAAGCACATTATCTACTGGGTCATCTTCTCAACTCTGAGTGATTTTCTAAGAGCACAACTGCATTTTTCCTAAAAGGGAGTTAAGTGCTGTGTACCAAGGGCTGGAGTGAATGGAGACTCCAGCAGGAGAATGTTCTTGAGCACAGGCCTGGATGGTCATTGGTATGGTTCGGGGAAGCATCTGGTCAAGGTTTGTGTATCTTTCCTTGTAACTGAAATTATTCACTGTTTGTAGTGAAATAACTTTCCCCAGTGCCTTCAGAACACACCAGACACATCACTGAGCATAGATCATGGACATTTAAATTATATACCATATTCTCTGGTTCAGTTGAGAAACCAGTCAGGACATGCTATCCAGAAGTATGAGTTACTAGCACAGAATCAAGATAATACAATTTCAAAAGCCAATGCTCTGCATACCCTAATGCCTGGGCTCAGGGCCCATTGTCAGGATTCTGTTATTAGCTTTTCTGAATCACATTTCACATCTGTTAAATTTAGTCATATGAGTCTGATTTTATAAGGTAGCATTTCTGTAAGTGGCTTTTATTCTGTCGGGTATGGCACAAATGTGAACATCGTCCTTACAATAGAAATCATCTCGGAATTCAACCCAATGGCTGACTCCCAGGCAAATGCTTTACTGATCAGGACAATCTCATGCATCCTTTCCAACTTCTCCATCTTTACCTGTCCACATGCTCACAGCAGACTAAAATTCAAATACATGACAACAAAATACATGACATTCTTTCCTTTTACTGTATTTGTCAAAGAAGCACCAACACTGGAGATCACACTTTCTTTTTACTATTGTTTGCTTGCTTTGTTTACCTTGAAAAATACAGTCTTTCAGTAAGCAGCCACTTCCCAGGGTCTATGGAGGCCCCATACTCTGGAAAGGGGAAGGGAATAAGACAAGGCTACCAAATAATGTTAAAAATCTATGCATGTTCTAACCAAGCATTCAGTCATGGCAGTAAAGGGCTGTGAAGTTCATCATGTCATTCCTCCCTTCTAGACATGTTTTCTGACCTGAGACCACTTCCCTTCAGAGAAAAGGAAAAGGTGTTCCCTTTTCTTCAGATAGCAGCAACAGTACTTGGTAACCAAGCCGTAACCTGGAGTGGATGTTCACTCGTTGTCTGAGGGACAGGAGACAACAAGCATACATTTAAAATGTTTTATTAGTCAACACGGAGTTATAGGTGCTGCCAAAAGGCATAAACAAACATAAAAGAAAGAGAAGACCCATCAGAGGTAGAGTGACCAGGAATTTCTCCATGATGACCACAGCTCTTCCCACCTCACAGTCAATTAATTCAGGTTAAGCACTTGACATTGACATCAGCACCAAACCAGAGTTTAAAACACAGACAAATGGGCAAAGGCTGCAAGCCAGGGCTCCCCTAGCACCCTTTAGAGACTTAGCTGTTAAATCCTTACCACCAGCAGCTTGAAAGCAAGCTCTAAGGGATTTAGAGTCTATTAAGAACCTTCGGTGTGGTCCCTGGCATCCATGCAACCTTCTGATACAGTGACTATTACTTGGTTTCATGTTGGGCATCATTAAGAGTCTTCAAGATGTTTCCCGCTCACTGAGTTAGACAGGCACAGCTGGAAGTCCAGGCAGCCTGTTCTGGCTGACTCTGTAGCCCAAGGTCTTTCCAGTGCATTCTGAATTGCAAAGTCTGTGATGGCAAGATGGCTCACACACACAGCTCTTGCTCAGCACCTCCAATCTCCTTCATATTTTTTTTTCTCCCAGTGACATTTGGGCATCTGAAAAGCCACTTCCAGGACATTCATCTGGCAGGTCCTATGGTTCAGCTGACTTCTTCAAAGATAACTTCTGCAACTCATGTCAGAGTTCAGTTCCACATCTACTCTGAGCGTTCTGACTTTCTGACATGGAGAAGATGTATTTCTGGACCTTTGGTGAGAGGGGAGCACAGAGCAGCCTAGCAGGAGTATTCTATCAATTATATCACCCCTCCGGGAGTCTCATTAACATGAAAATGTTGGAGGAGAATAACTAAAGACTTCAACAATGAAAAGTCCCCTGTGAAGGCTTCCTTGAATTTATGGTTAAGAAAAAGTGTCCACCTTGCATATCCCTCTGCACATAATTCAAGCAGATGAGATCCTTTTTGGACGATTTTAAATAAATTATCTTAGCAAATGAGGGACCAACCAGAATAGATTGCCTCGGGCCAAAATCCACAAAGGCAGTGTGGAGATGGCAGATGCTTAACAAGTCCATATTATTTAATTCCCACACCTGTGGAATAGCGGGATGTTATTTCCATTTTAAGGTCAACTCAGTTACCACAAGTAGGTAGTACAATAGGCAACTTCTAAAATAAACCTAAGGGCTCTGCTTTCTAATCCTTCTTGGCTACAGACTTACTTTCTTTTGTTTTTCAGTTATGGTCACTCACTGTCCCAAATATTAAGGAGAAAAATCCAAAAATAAATGATTCATACATTTTAAATTGTATGCTGCTTTACTCTATCCTGCCCAGCAGATGGATAAGCTTTTTTTCCAAGGTGTCTCTACTGTATATGGTACCTATTTATCTTAGTTCTATTTTCTGTTGCTGTGATAATATTGCAACACAAGTAATTTAGGGGAAAATGGGTTTACTTTAGCTCACTGTTTTCATGTTATAGTCCATTATAGTAGGGGAATCATACCAGCAGGAATTTGAGGAAGTTATTCATATCACATAACCAGGAACACAAAGCAATAAATGTATATACGTTACTGTCCAGCTCACTTTCTCCATTCTTATATAGTTCAGCATCTTCTTCCCAGGGAATAGTGCCACCCTTAGTGGCACCCACAAGGCAGCCTTACTTAGACAATCCCTCACTGATACTCTCTTCTTACATTACACTAGATTGTGTCATGTTGACAATTCAACACCACCTGTTAATGATTTAGTAATTGTCTTGGTTATCAAATCAGCTATGGTTATTCGCAATGCTTGTATTCTTACATATCTTGCTAATGGTTGCTGTTATGGTTTGACTTTGAGATGTCCTATGCAGAGGTTCAGGTGGTTAAACACTTGGCCCCTAATTGATAGTGCTGTTTTGGAATGTCATAGAACCTTTAGGAGGAAGAGCCTTCCTAAAAGTGAGTCACTGAAGAATAGGCCTTCACATTTAATAGCTAGGTCTACTTTTGGTCCTTTCTTTGTTTTTTGCCTGTGATCATCTACCTCACACTCCTGCCACCATGCCTTTCTAGCCCATGAACTATAGCTCTGTAGAATATAATAAAATGAGCCTAATAATAAATAATAAAATAACAAAAATAAGACCTTTCTCACTTCAGTTGCTTCCTGTCAGTAATTTATTCACAGAGACAAGAAAGTAACACAGTCCCAAAGCAAGGTTATGATGCTGGAGTTCCAGATCTGACAAGAAAAGATTATAAGATTGTGTGTGCAGAATTTATTTCAGGGATACCCTGGGTTCTTCAGACAAATTCTTCAACTCCATCTCCTTTGCCTTTCCCACCTATCAGGTCTTATAGCAGAGATTCTTCACCAGTAATTATGTCTCTACAGAGGGGAGCTTCCAACCCAAGCTTGATATCCTTCTCAGAGCCTTTTCTGTGAGGGGATACATATGACCACCATCAACATCACTATCAAACACCAGGCACTTAGGGGGCATTCACCTAATATCTATGTGAACACCAAAAGTGGCATCTCTATTTTTTTGAATTTTCATGTCTTCTATATCCAAGAGGATGTCTAGCTCAGAACAGGTCATCCACCAGTAATGTATGATTTAATCCAGGAGGCAAATCCTCCCAAGACCATCACCATTGGGTTTTCTAAAAAAACAATTACTGGTTTGTCAAAAATATCCTTGTATAGAATTTATTGCTATTCATGTGGCCATTCCCTTCTGTTGTGTTGTTTGTTTTTATCACTTGCTCTTCTGTCTTGACAAGTCTAAAAAGTTCAAAGGAATTTCCCTCACATATTCAGATTTAGTGTCTAATAGAATATGAATACAAGGAGGGACAGTAAACAATTGTATGTACTTTTGTGAGCTAACTGTGAGGACTGCTTTAGATAGTGAAGACACTCAGACTATGTTAGCTGAGGTCTGCTTTTACAGGAACAAATAGCTACCTCCCTAAACAATGTTAGTGTTCACGTTCCTTGCCTCTAAGCTTCAAAGATAAAATGAGCATGTTTAAAGAAAGCTGAGGAGAAACATCAATGATACTGCCTTTACATTATTCTGCCCATTGACTTTGTGCAGACTAGAAATCAGAAGTATCTACTACTCACTAGCTACTATAAGATTAAATGTATATTTTATACCACCTATGCATAGATCTAGAAATGACCATCTTAGGTCATAATTTCACTTATCCATTTCCTTTACACTTGTTTAGCCAATTGGGATACTCAAGGGTTAAAGGAAAAAAAGATTTAGTCCATTGGAAAAAACATTAAGATGTGAACCACATTTAGTATTAGAAATACTAATACAGAACCAACGTATTAACAGAAGACAAAGTTAGACTTGGAATGGAATGTAAGTGTGTGTGTGTGTGTGTGTGTGTGTGTGTGTGTGTGTGTGTATACATGTGTTCAAACACTTGTCATTTAATTGGCTCAGGAAACCCAATATCTTCACCTCTTAAAGCCTAATTTCTTAATCTGTAAAATGGACCAAAGTCTTAGGAACTCACCCTGGCTGTGTTATGAAGCTGAAAGAGAACGTTGCCTATCAAAGAGCCTACCAGAGCTCTAGGCAGATGGCAGACAGTCACTCAATTGTAACACAAATTCTATAGGTCTTAAAAATAAAAGCCCGGATTCAGATATAGGGGGAAATGCTGAGAGATCAGAGAGATGAAGGAACAAACCCACAGCCACCTTACCTACTCAACTTCCCAGCCAAAAAGAGTTTGAGCTCCTGTCTCCTCCCACCTTATCACTTACTGTGTGTCTGTACAGGCCTCCAGACCTCTATGATTAACTAGAGGTTAGCTCTACCCTGTGATCTTCAGGCAAGCTTATTTGTTAGAATATAAACAAGGTATCACTACACTCAATGATATTAAATCCCATTGTAAAGGAGAATGGCTGCTCCCCCCCCAAAAAAAAAATGGATAAAAAATAATGACATAAACCAAGCCTTTAAATGGTAGGTAATTAAGAGCAAAACTCTCCATTGCCTCTTTACTTTTCTAATCACACTGAACATAGTGTTAGAATTAGGGGCTGGTCCTTTTTGAAAGTTGTTTCCATGGAAATATAAGGCTGGATTTATAAAACAAAACAAATTACTACATTACAAACAACTGTGCCATTTAAAATAAACTCCCAAACCTGTGAATTATTCTAAGATAAACATATTACAAATTCCACTCCTTTAAATCGGTTATAACTTTTTGAATATTTTGATGCCCTCTACCAATGGACTCAATGAAAGGGCTAACATCCAGGGAAAAACGAAGGAAAAGTAGACACTAGCAAAGCAATGTGCTCATTAGAAGGTCTCAGATTCTTTGGGAAGTAGCTATTCAGTTCCAAAGAAGAGTTGACCTGAGATTCACAGAAGTCATGGAAACTCCTGGCTGTGGAGGTGACCTCCTGCTCCTAGGTGCTCTGTCTGCTTCAGGGTTCAAGTTTCTCCTGCTTTGATAACCTCGAGGCATATCTGCATAAGGGTCTACTTTGCCTCTGTAGTCTTTCCTTGAAGTATCAGTCTCCACCTACTCCCACAAGACTATGAAGCCAAATCACTTCCCCACTCCTCTCATTTCTTCAGAACCCTAGTGCCAGGCCTCCATAGCCTGAGACATCAAATCCTATTATATACTCAAATAAGGTGTTTTCTGATTCTTCACTATACCTGGCTCAGTCTCTCCAAGAATGACACTTTTATCCATCCAGGAACTCAAGTCAGAAACTTGGAAGTAGATTTAAACTTACCTCTTACTCTTCGTAGCTCCCCAGTCCAGGTCTTATTGATCTATCTTCTAAACCTTCATGAGTCAGACCCAGGCTTCCTTGTCACCACCCTGCCTCAGACTCACACTATCTCCTTCATGCTGCAGCTAATATTGGAATGTCCATAGTCCAGCTCATTCAAACACTGGCTAGATTGCCAAAAGATAGAAGAAATGCCTGAGGCAAAACCTGAGGTAGGAAGTAACTTAGAGGGAAGCCCACAGGTAAATAAACCCAACAACCAGATCAAGTAGGCAGCGACAGCAAAACTAAAGGAAAATACCTCTTTCACTAACTAAGAAGTCCAGGCAAATAGCACCTATCTCATGGTATCTCCCCCCAGAAAGTCCCAGGCTAGACCAGTAGCACCTCTCTCCCATGGTGTCCATCTGTGCTTATCCTCTCCATGACACTGCTAAGTTCTAGCTGGAACAAAAACCTTTAACTCTCTTCACAGTGTTCCTTTGTTGCAAAACTACCACAGGTAGAGAGGATTTACAAGTTAGTCTACATAAGCAGTGATGCCATTGGCTTGCTAGCTTGGAATGCACGCCAGCATTCCAAGGAACAGTTTACTGAGTATACTTGTAAAGAGCAGATTCTTCTCTAGGAAACACTAGTGTACTCACCTCCCAGTACGCATGAGAAGTAAGTGACCCCCTAGGTAGCCTTTATGCAAACATTGTGGTTTGTATTCACTCCAGTCTCTTTTGCTTCCTTGGCTTGTCTAGAGCCTTGGGAATGGAAAGGTGCATTTCAGGTATCCCATTATCTGACATGTAATTTTTTTCTCAGGGATCATACAAATATATTCCTAATGGACCTTTCTAGCCTTGCCTAGCATCACGCTACTTTCCACAAGGCAACCATAGTGAAATTTCTAAAAGACAAGTTTGACCACTCTGCACCCTGGATGTAGGCAAGACAACTGGACATCCTGGTTAGTTTTAACTGTCCACTTGACACAGCCTAGAGTCACCTGAGAAGGGAGTCTCAAATAAAGAATTGCCTAGATTAAACTAGTTTATGGGGATTGTCTTGATTATCTGTGTGGGGACTTGATTGTCTATGTGGGGTTTGCCTGGACTGTTAACTGATGTGGTAGGGCCAAACCCACTGTGCATGGCACCGCTCCTTGGGCAGGCAGTCCTGAGTGAGCCAACAAGTTGTATTCCTTCATAGTTCCTCCTTCAAGTTCCTGCTTGAATTCCTTTACTGACTTTCTTCTATGATGGACAGTAACCTGTAAGTTGAAAGAATTCTTCAATTATTTCAAGTCCCCCTAATTTGCTTTTAGTCAGTGTTTTATCACAACAGAAAGGATAACACTTGGTGTCTCACATGTATTCCTACCAGATTCTCTACCTCTACTTTACATTGATCATCTCATGACAAAGACCTCCACAGCAACGCTAAGCAGTTACTTTCTCTACAGTTAACTTTCTTTCTGCATTAATCTAAGATCCCTGAAGAACAAAGCACCCAGCTGTAGAATGTGACCTTACAAGACAGTTCTGAGTTCAGCTTCATGAACTTAATTGTGAGTCTCCTGCTTGCTAGCCAAAACACAAGCAATTTAGAGTCTTTGTCCAGTTTCTTTTTTTTTTTTTAGAAAAAAATAATAAGAATACTGAACACAATAGAATTAAATGAGCTGAGACTTAAAGGATGAGGAGTCAGCCATGCAAAGCCATGGAAGATACATGAAAGAATAGAGAGCCAGAGTCCCCACTGATGAGACCAGAGGCACTGAAAAATTCAGAGCCTTGAGCCCTGCAAAAGTCTTTCAGCCTAGGATCACAGCTTCTAAGAGGAAGCAGAGAAGCCCCAGAGTTAACACATGGTGCCTGGCAGCCCTCATTAACAGAGATCTGCTTCATTTCTCCTACCCCATTTGGATCCTTTCCAGAATCTACTATCACATCTAAGCCTTGGGTGAAACATCAGAGGTCCACAAAGTGATGAAAGGGCTATATTGGCAAGGACTCAAGAGATGAACAAAAATGCTGAGTGCAACAGTCTGGCAGGAGATTCTCCATGAGGGCATTAACCAAAATGGTGGGCCACTTGAAGGGCCGTATGGATCATGTCCATTCAGGAATGTGGACTTTCTGTCAGGCTTGACATGTCTTTAGTTCAGCATGAGATGCCTTTGCCAAATGAACAGATTTGAAGATTGCATTGGCCTTAAAATTGTTTTTTACTTTATAGCGAAGAAGTAAATGATTTATGAGTTTGTCAGAGAACGGATGCTGCCTTTGAGGGGGAAAATCCTTCCATTTCCACAGTATCATGAATTGCAAATGAGCCAATGGGTGATGTGTATATGTATGCGTACGTGTGTGCACACATGCATCTTGGTGCTCGTTCTCTGCTTTCTGCCTCTGTGGTCTGGAGGCCACCTCCACTGTGTGCTGTCACTGACGCTGGGAGCAAATTGTAATTATAATGCCTAACAGCCATTCCAAGACAAACCAAATCTGTGTTCCATTAAAGTCAAGGAATAGTTCAAGAAAATATATATATATATATATATATATATATATATATATATATAACCCTGTCTGGGGACAGCTGACCCCCCACCTCCCAATCAGCCTTGTGGAGGCATGGGTGAGGGAAATATGCTCCCCCTTTGCTACCCAACCATAATACAAAACAGGTTTCTCAGTCATTCTGATGCCACAGAAGCCAGAGGATTCCACATGGTCTCTTCTGGCATATTTGGAAACAGATTCTGATGGTGTCCCAGGCAATCAGCAGGAGTCCAGGTTTACACACAGTTTATCATCTTTGCTGTGGTTTGGGTAGCAGCTATGTGGAAGGCCCAGAGTGGTAATCGATTTCCTCACCCAGGACACAAAGCTCCCTTGCCAGCTACCAAGAACATGTCCCCTTGGTGAGTCCTTGTGGGATGTTAGATGGAGTCACAGAAATGAGAGACATTGCCATTCAAGCAAGAGTTCAGGAGCTGACCTTTCCTCTAAAAGAAAAACTAAAGCTGCAGATCATGTCTCAGTTAGTTTGCAAGAATGATTTAGATGCACATTTTTGCAATGTGTTCTTTGAAATGAAATCTTCATAAATATCCTCCAACTCTATTATCCCAGTGTTCTAAATACCTGTGCATTCAGAATGCATTCTGCTCACAAAGGTAACTGTTCAAAGTATGTTTCAATCAGAAAAGCAATAAGGGCGCCATAACCTTGCACTTTCTATAGAAAGCTTAGCTTACTTGCAATATTTCCATCCTCTTCAGCATTTCGCAAACATGCTGAAAATTACCAATGGACTTTATAATGCAATTTTAACAATTTTTTGTATAATCTTAAAAAAAATGTCACTAAGAATTGAACTTATGATCTTAGGCATATCTAGAAAGTATTCTGAGTATTAACTACAGCCCCAGCCCTCAAATTGCAATTTTAAATACCGTAACTCTTATAAGTAAAACTCCACAGCCTTTTACTCTGAAAATCCACATAATCTATGGAGCGGGAGAGCACAGATGTTATTCTGTTTGTTTTTTTTTTTTTTGTGTGTGTGTGTGAAGTGAGTGTCCATATCCTGGTCAACATGACTTCTGAATTTTAAATGATAATCTATTTATTCTTAATGAATTGTGAAATAAATGAATGCATTTATTTGTGACATTTGAAATGATGTTTTCATATACAGATAACTTGTGAAATGGCTAAATCAAGCTGATTACCAAATCTCTTACATTTATCATTTATGAATAAAATACAGTATCAACTGATAGTGGCTTTTGAGGATATTAGTCCACCATTCAGTGATTTCCCTTATTCTTCCAGAAACACAGAACTCTGCTAATGTTCTTGATGCCAAAATGTTACCTATTGTTGAATTTTATATTTTACATAAACACACACCAAGGGAATTTGGATCTTTGTTTTTGTTTTTTAAAGATTCCAACTCATAACTACAAATTGTGGGTTTGGGATATTTTTTTTTAATTTACCTCTGATGATAGGCAAGCTCCTGATGTGGGACTTTGGCAAGATGTGAAATGAATCAAGATTGTCCCATGTTCTTATCTTCTCAATGATGTGGGATGTCTTTCTGTACACTGTGATCATGTGTTGCTCTCATTGGTTAATAAATATAGCTGCTTTGGCCTATGGCAAGGCAATAGAGCCAGGCAGGAAATCCAAGCATAGATACAAGAGAAAAAGGGAGGAGTCTGGGAGACGCCAGCAGCTGCCCAAAGAGCAACATGCCAGAGGACCACCGGTAAGCCACTGACCACATAGCAATACGCACATTAATAGAAATGGGTTAATTTAAATGTAAGAGCTAGTTAGTGATGAGCCTGAACCATCCTGCAAATGTTTGTAATTAATATTAAGTCTCCAAATGGCTATTTGGGAACTGGCAAGTGGAAGAGAAACGGTCAGTTACATCTCCCCTTCCTTCTGATTCTAGCTTCTTCTTCAGGACCCCCTCCATCTGCTTCCTATTTCTACTACTTTTCTTAGAAGGTGATTCAGTGGTTCCAACCCCATGATTCCTATATATATATTTGGAGACTCTGTTTCTTATTGGATCTATTGATGGAAAAGGATAGCAATTGTGTGTCTTCATTCTGGTCTTTTGTTGTTCTTCTCCTAGTCCCCTAATGTCAAATATAATCCACAATTCTAAGGAGTGGTTTCTACCTATGCATAGGAATTTCACCACATTTCTTGAGAAATGACAATCCAGGCCATAAAATATTAAGACCACTGGCGAAATGTAACAGCATGAAGAAGAATGTTCTGTCTTCTGGGTAAACCATGCTACACTCATGGAATCTCCTGGGACTTCCCAGGACAGAGAAAGTCCTTACCCTGGCTTCCCAGGCATTTTATGATGGGTTCCTTATCTTCTGAAGAGATCAGATCACCCACTGTCTACTTCTGCTCCTGTCTTCCTGTCTTTATGCTATTGAATTTCTCACCATGGTCCCAATTTACCATACTTCAAGGTTCTCATGCTTTGATTTATATTTTCCTTCTTCATGGAGTACTTTCCACTTCATTCTGCACTCTTCATCTGATTATGGATTCTGCATTTTGTAAAATCAGCCCATATATTTTCTCTTCCATGTTAGGGCCCACATCATTCCACAAATTCTTTCTATTACTTAGCACATTGCATTTGAGCTGTCTATATTTGCCAGTACTGTTAAGCACCTTTTCATGTCTAAACTCTGTAACTAATGCATTTTAGTTATTGCTAGGCAAGAGTTTAGATAACTTATTCACTAAATCAGGCTCAGCCTCTTGGGCTACATTTATGACCAAATCACATAAATTCTCAGAAAGCAGAAAGGTGAGAAAGAAACTCAATTCTTTTCACTCCATCAAGTTAGCTTGATTTTTTTCCTGCTAGGAGCCAGCCTCCTGTCCCATCAGGAAACACTTCTATTGGTGTTACTATCTGCAGGTTGTTTCAGAGTGCTTTGGGTTTGTGTGGTGTGTTAGAAGCTATTCATTGCCATTAAAAATATTTGAGATAAACAACTTTAAAAGAAAATGACTATTTTGGCTCATGATTCATAGGTATTAGTTCTTAGTTGGCCAAGTTTCTACTGAGTCTGTCTGGAGGTAGTGCATCATGATAGCAAAGTGTGTGAAGAAGGGCACTGTTCTCCTCATGGTGGTCAGGAAGCTAAAAGAGAGAAAATAGACCAGAGTTTCAATATTCCAACTGAAGTCACACTCACAATGACCTCAATTATTTTATCAAGCCACACCTCCAAAAATTCTCATCATCTCCCTACAGCTGTAACACCTATGGAATACATAAGTTTGGGCAGATATTTCAAATGCACACAATAACAGAATTGTGCTTAGGGGTGTGTGTGTGTGTGTGTGTGTGTGTGTGTGTGTGTGTGTGTGTGCAAATGCATGTGCATTTGTGTACATGGCAGCTGTTGAAGTAATCAGTAGCTAATTTTCTACTTGTATTTAGATTCTTCATTTTGAATCTCCCACAAAACATCAGAGTATCATTCCCTGATCATTTACATCCATTTCAGACAATAGAATATGGTACACCTGAGGATTTCTATTCAACACAAGAAGTATTTCATGGTATACTAGACAAGGGCTCTAAAACTGAAGCCTAGTTTTAGAGCACCTAGAATTATTCTTGTCTCAAGACATTTAAGTACACTATCATGTTGGTTTAGAGTCACAAACTCTACCCATTTGCCAGTCAATGAGGCTGCCCTCTTCTCTTTGTGCTGTGTACCATATCAACAACCATGTGTACAGATGGCCAGATGCCAATCTCTCCATCCTAAAATGCAAAGACTATGGACCAACAAACATATCATTAGAATGGAGTGAGATAGGAGGTAGATGTAAGAGCTGCTGAGGAAGGCTTAGTTAGTGAGACCTTCTAAGAAGAATGAAATTAATGGGTTGATGAGGAAGTAGAATGTTTTCCTAAATATGTCATAGACAGATGACTTGGAAACATTCATGCTTTTCAAATATCCAGAATTTTCTCCCCATTGGTACTCTTTCCTGTTAGACTCCAGTGAGTCAGAGAAGACAGTTGAGCAGGGGGTGAAGTCAGCACGCAAATATATATATTTACAGAAAAAATAATTAATTTACTTCTTTGTTATATTGCTTGATGCTGAGTTGAGATAAAGGGAGTTAAAATGACATGAACCTCAGTACTCTTTAGCAGTAGCTAGAAATAATACCCTTAACTCTTCTTTAAGTATTTATTTTTATTTATGTGTTTCATTTTCATGTGATTTTGAGCTATCCAACATGGGTCCTGGGGACTAAATTTGGATCATCTACAGGAGTAGTACTTAGTCTTAACCAATAAGCCATCCTTCTACCCCCCATCCCTATGATTTTAAGTGTTTGGTCATTCAACTCTCAGTGTGACAAAATTAACAAGCTTGTAAGCCTATAGTGACTTTAGTGGGACCAATGGATAGCATGAGGATTTTTTTACTGATTAAGGGGGGATTTCCAAAGCTAAAAGCCAAGATAGGATGCTGCATGTTCCATATAGTCCCAAATCTATGAAAAATAATCATCTTAAAGTTACCATTGATTGTGCTATTATTTCCCGAAGCATCTTTAGATCTTGTCTATTTTTTATTATTTTTTAATTTTAATTAGAAAGAAGATTATTTTGCATGTCAATCCCAGGCCCCTCTTGCTCCCCTCCTCCTCTTCCCCTCCAACTAACACCCTACCTATCCCATACCCTTTCTGCTCCCCAGGGAGGGTGAGGCCTTCCATAGGGGGTCTTCAGAGTCCATCGACACATATCCTTTGGAATAGGGCCTAGGCCCACCCGCTTGTGTCTAGGCTCATGGAGTATCCCTCCATGTGGGATGGGCTCCCAAAGTCCATTCCTATGCTAGGGATAAGTACTGATAAGATGACCCCATAGATTTCTGAGGTCTCTTCACTGACACCACATTCAGGGGGTCTGGATCAGTCCCATGCTCGTTTCCCAGCTATCAGTCTGGGAACCAAGAGCTCTCCCTTGTTTAAGTCAGCTGTTTCTATGGGTTTCACCAGCCTGGTACGGACCCTTTTGCTCATGGAGTACTACTCAGGAGGGGGGAACACCCCAATGGAATCTTGATGTAGGCAAATGGATGGAACTAGAAGAAACCATTCTGAGAGAGGTAACCTAGTCACAAAAGACAAACATGGTATGTACTCACTCATATGTGGATTTTAGACATAGAGTAAAGGATTACCAGCCTACAATCCACACTGCCAGAGAAGCTAGTAAACAAGGAAGACTCTAAGAGAGACATACATGGTCTCCTGGAGAAGGGGAAAGGGACAAGATCTCCTGAGCAAATTAGGAGCATGGGGCGAGGGGAGAGGGAACTAAAAGAATGAGAAGGGGAGAAGAGGAGGGGTGAGAAGGACATGATGGGGCAGGGAGGTTGAGTTGGGGGAAGAACAGAAGAGAGCAAGATAGATACTATAGTAGAGGGAGATATTTTAGGTTTAAAGAGAAATCAGGCACTAGGGAAATGTCTGTAGAGCTACAAAGTTGACACCAACTAACAATCTAAGCAACAGAGGAGAGGCTACCTTACATGCCCTCCCCTGATAATGAGATTGATGACTAAGTAATATGCCAATCCCATAGCCTTCATCCAGCAGCTGGTGGAAATAGAAGCAGACACCCACAGCTAAACTTTGATCTGAACTGAAATCCAGTTGCAGAAAAGTAGATCTTGTCTTTTATATGTGGCCTTATTTTATTATACTTTATGCGAACACTGTTGCATTGAAATATAGGTTACCTGAGCTGAGTGCAGCCAATCAGTGAACACATATAGGACCTTTAACCCTCACCAAAGGATGGGACTTCATTAAAAATATATGCTCTGAGACAGGCTTAGTTCTGCCTAAAATATCTCCCTACCTCTGAAAGCCAAGCCTGCATTTGGGGCTACCTAATCTATCTTTGTCAACATCCATATCCCTAAAATGGCAGAATATACCTGCAAAAGATTAAACACCCTCATTCTGATAATAGAGATAATACATGGCAAATGGTTGTATTTAAACCAGGGGTCTACAATTCTACTTTACCCACTACTACAACCTATTGTGAAAACCTAGGAAGAACCTAGAACAGGTCAATAAAAAAAAATTTGTCTCTTGAAGGAAACTTATCTCTCAAGCATCTTGAAGTGTCCTTAAATATCTAATTACATCGTGTTCATATCTTGTTTATACTCTAACAAATAAAGTTTGCCTGAAGATCAGAGGGTGGTGCTAGCCACTAGCTAACCATAGAGCTCTGGAGGTCTGGACAGACAGACAGGAAATAATATAGCAGGGCAGACAGAGGAATATAGGAACTTGCTCTTTTTTTTTTCCGGTCTGAGGATTTCCTAAAGATAAGAGCTCTAGTGGCTGGCTGCTCTGCTTCTCTGACCTTCCAGTTTTCACCTCTAATATCTGACTCCAGGTTTTTTATTATTCAGATGAATCAGAACTCATGTTACAGTAGATGTATCTTGATACACCCTTAAACATCTAAAACAATCATTCATAATACACTCACCAGGAAAATCAGCATAGCTCTATGGGAATCACTGTCTGTTATTTTTCAATGAATTTTGTATGGCAAGATTATATATTATATGACTAGAGTCCTTCAGGCAGAGGGAAGTATTTGAACTGCTGCAATGACTTATAGTGTCTGAATCATATCCAGTGCTGTGATTCTTCACATAGCTAGGAAAATTGGTCACATGTTTAAGCCATTTTGACAGCAACTAGAGTGAAATAATTCAGAGGCAAGCCATATTTTTTTTCACTAACTGGCATACCACAACACAAAACAAGAAAGCCTTCAATTAGTTAGCCTTTTAAATGGCTGTAGAAAATGGCTTGGATGACTGCTAATACAGGCTGTAGTAGGGCCACAACAAAATACTGCCTTGATGATGACAAGGGCACAGGGAAGCAGAGGCTCCATCATTAGTACACACTGGATACCAGTGAACTGTTCCATGCATTACCCAAATAACAATGAATATGGAAGCCCATTAATCTTTAGTTGTTCATTAAAAAGTTGAAGTAAACTAAGTCATGAAGAGGGCTTTCTCTCGTGTTGTAACAACAGGCTTTAGAACCTTTCTTTTCATGAGTCTGAAGAATTCAGTCAAAATGACCATATTATGCAAAGTAATCTACAAATCTGATGAAATTTCTATTGAAATTCCAACAGGTTTGCTTTCTGCAGAAATGGGGGAAAAACAGAGATAAAAAGACAAGTAGATGATCCACTGATCATCAAGGTACCAGGGACATATAACAAGGCCAAAATAGGTTCTTTGATGAATGACATTGAGCAGTTGGGTACATATATACTAAACATATTGGATGCTCATACTGCATATAAAAATTAACAGAAAGTATACTAAAATGCAAGCAGAAGACCTGAAATTGTGAAACTGATAGAGGGAAAATAAGGGGGAAAACCACAGGCTGTTAGTCTTGGCTGTGTCTTTTTTGAACACAATTCCAAAGACACAGGCAAATGTTAAACATGAGTGAATTAAACTAAAATCTTTCTGCTAAGCAAAGGACAAAACCAACAAAATAAAAAGGAAACCTACAGAATGGAAGAAAATCTTTAGAAGCCACATTTGCAATAAGAAGCAATTAGCCAAAATTATATAACTGACTCAGACAGTTCCATAGCAAAAAACTAAAATAAGCATATACATACATACATACATACATACATACATACATACATACATACATATTAGTTCAAATTAGGAACTAGCTTGCTTCACATGTCAATTCCTTCTCCCTCTCCCTCGCCTCCCCCAACCTCCCACCAGCCCCCTACTCCCTCCCCCCTCTGCTCCCCATGGAGGGTAGAGCTCTCCATGGGGGCTCCCCAAATTCCACAACATCATCCTGGGCCAGGCCTAGGCCCGCCCCAATGTGTCCAGGCCGAGAGAGCATCCCTTCACTGGGATGGGCTCTCAAAGTCCCTTTTTACACCAGGGGAAAATACTGATCCACTACCAGGGGCCCCATAAAGTGCCGAGGCCTTCTTGTTGACATCCATGTTCAGGGGTCTGGATCAATCCTGTGATGGCCTCCCAGACAGCAGTCTGGGGTCCATATGCTCCCCCTTGTATAGGCCAGCTGTTTCTGTGGGATTCACCAGCCTGGTCCTGACCTCTTTGATCTTCATTTCTCCCTCTCTGCAACTGGGTTCCAGAATTTAGTGTATAGCTGTGGGTGTCTGCCTCTGCTTCCATCAGCCACTGGAAGAGGGCTCTAGGATGCCATGGTTAAGAGCACTTGCTGCTCTTCCAGAGGTCCTGAGTTCAGTTCCCAGCAACCACATGGTTGCTCACAACCATCCCTAATGAAATCTGGTGCCCTTATCTGGCATGCATGCATACATGGAGGCAGAATGTTGCATACATAATTAATAAATAAAATCTTTAAAAAATGCTGGCTAGCATTGCTAAAAATAACTTTATTTTAAATGGACAAAAGTCCTGGATAAATATTTTCCCTATGAAGACATATAATTGATCAACAGATATATGAAAAGATCATTAACAATCAAAAGTGGGATATAGTCTTTTATCTGGTGAGATGACTGTGCTAAAAAGCCAGCCAATAGCAAGTATTCTTGGGAAATGAAGAAAAGGAATCCTTAAATGTTGCTTGTGAGAATGTAAATTGGTAAAGCCATGATATAAAATATCATGACAACTCCATCAAAAGTTAAAAAAATGAAGCTACAAGTCAGAAATCTCTGTGCTAGATATATAATAAAAGGAAATGAAGTCAACATGGCAAGAGATGGTTGCATGCCTATTCTGGTTGCAAAGTTGATCACAAGAGTCTAGATATGAGCATAAGATAATTGTTGACAAACTAGTGGTTAAGGGAGTATGAATGCACTCCCAGTGGGATAGTAGTCACTCTTAAGAAGAAGTTGGTTGCTGGTATATATTTGTAAGGCAAGTACTA